CCTCAGCAGTGTACTGCCTGCTCTGCTCCACGCTCTGGCTCTGCTGAATTCTCTCACCCTCCCGCACTTCTAACTGTGCTTGTATAAATAAATAAAAAGAAATCTTAAAAAAAAAAAAAATTAAAATAAATAAATAAAGTCAATGAAAATTTTAGTGTAAAGTAACGTTCTGCAAACACCTAAGTATCCTGTTCTAGAATGTAAATACAAGGTATAAGTTAGACAAATTAACAAACTCTCTAAACCTGTTACTTTTTAAAAAAGATGGCAGAATAATACTCTCTGAGTTACTAACCTTCTGGAAAGAAGCCTATTATATAAATTTGAGCTGTACTATTATTAGCAATGTTCTGATGCTCTTTTTTAGGTTGGTGGAAATAAAGCTGAGGGCAGACAAATCAACTTGAGAAAAAGAAAATTATGCATCAGTGGAAATTGTTTCTATTACATTTGTCAGAATATCAAATAATGAGATAAACCAGAACTCAATTTTTCAATAAGCAAATCAAATCCCTTTTATCAATGCTATATTTGAATAAGGACAAATAAAAAATTCCTACTTATCATAAAGAAAATATGCAGACCTGCAGTTTATTTTCACCTTAGGGAATTTAGCACAAGGTAGACAGTAAAATAAGAATGCTAAGATTTTCCAAAACAAATATTACTTCTTACAGAAAATGTGATTCCTCTCTAGAACTTTCGGTCTCCAGCAAGAATCCTTGTTTGTCATCATCACCAAAATGCCCACTTATGCCCATAGTTTTCTAAGAATTTTATGTTTTCTTAAAAGTTTCATGTATTTTTTTCTCCAAAGAGGAAATGCAAATGGTCAACAGGCATATGAAAAAATATTCAGCATCACTTGTAATCAGGGAAATGAAAATCAAAACTATCATGAGATACCATATTACACCAGTGAGAGTGGCACATATTAAAAAAACTAGCAACAACAAATGTTGGAGAGGCTGTGGAGAAAAAGGAACTCTCCTGCACTGCTGGTGGGAGTGTAAACTGGTCCAACCACTATGGAAAGCTGTGTGAAGATTCCTCAACCTGCTAAAGATGGAGCTTCCATATGATCCAGCAATTCCACTCCTAGGTATTTACCCAAAGGACACAGAATCATTAATTCAAAAGGGCACCTGCACCCCTATGTTTATAGCAGCACTATTTACAATAGTTAAGCTACGGAAACAATCCAAATGCCCAAAAATAGATGACTGGATCAAGAAGATGTGGTATATGTACACAATGGAATATTACTCAGCAATCAAAAAAGATAAACTCATGCCATTTGCAGCAACATGGATGGAACTGGAAGGATTCATGCTCAGTGAAATAAGCCAGAAAGAAAAAGAAAAATACCAGATGGTCTCACTCATAGCAGGAATTTAAAAAACCTAAATAAGGGACCAGGAAAAAGACTAATTATAATAAAGTGAAAATCAAAATCAACAAGCTACTATAAACCAGAGATACACTATAGGGGGTAGGGGAGGGGAGGAGGGATTAGGGTCAAAATAAAGGGGGTGGGAATTGTATGGGAAATATAACCAAGATGAAAAATGCATACATTGTGCAAAAATGAAAAATGATGTAAAAATATATAAAAAATAAATTTAAAAAATTAAAAAAATATTTCATGTGTTCTGCCTCTTTCAAAAAAAATGTTTGGGGCCTCTCTGGTGGCGCAGCAGTTGAGCGCTGGGTTGCGAAGCTGCCCGCAGCCTCTGCAGCGCCGGTTCAATCCCCGGCTGCTCCCCGGCCACCAGAGCAGGGTCCCACATGGCGTGCAGACCTCGCCTGCCGCCCGCTGCTCCCCTCAGCAGTGTACCTCGGTCCTTCTGCCTGCTCTGCTCCCCGCTCTGACTCTGGTGAATTCTCTCACCCTCCTGCACTTCTGACTGTACCCAGTGCTTGTATAAATAAATAAAAAATAATAAAAAAATAAATCTTTAAAAAAAATGTTTGGCAGGCAAGCATCAGAGAATATACACATAATTTTCCTTCCTTCCTTCCTTTCTTCCTTCTCCCTCCCTCCCTCTTACCTTGTCTTCCTCCTTCCTCAGCAAGATTTTTGTCAAGCACTGCACTAAATGATGGGGAAATACATACAAATGACACATAAACATGTTGTGAGGAACCCACAGCCTAGTGGGAAAGAGGAAAACTACTCAGAGTTTCAATAAAGATATGAAAAAAATGCTATGAAGACAGAAAGAAGAAATTACCAACTTTGCCCTAGGGAATCAGAATAGGTTTCCCAGAACAGGTAGTGCTGAAGTTAATGCTTATTTATTCAAAACATAAACTAAAAGAAAAGACATCCTCAGGCATAAAAGGGGCTGACCAATTTAGACATAAAGAACAACATCGCAACATCATGGCTTCACAGAAATGTCCAAGAGGTGTGGGAAGCATGGAGACAGCGGGGACTGCTCTCTGTCACAGATGTAGTTCAAAGAAGTCAGCTGAGTTTAGCTGAGAGGCTGATAAATCACTTTTCTCTCATGCTACAAATATGTGTCAAAGCTATTCTATTGTGAGACATCAGCTTATTTGATGTAACCCAAGGGAGGTGAGTTTATATTCATACTTTTCTTTCTCTTCACAAGACCTAGTATTCATTGAATTGTTGAAGCTTGATTTGTTCTAAGAACAATGGATGGGTCCTCTGTAGTGAGGAGTAGCTTGTTTAGAGTTTTCTGGAGAGAACGGAAGAATACAGAGAAAGGAAAAAAAAAACTTGCCTTTGTGGATGGGAGTCTACCAGGTTGGCCTTATATCATTGAGATTAAACTAATTTCCTTTGTGGAGGGAAGAAAAGGGAACTTCAGCGTGCTGGGAGAGAGGGGTCTGTGCTATCTCTGACTTCCAATTCAGTAAAATAGAAAGGCCTTTCAATGGCCTGGAAACATGATCTGCTTTCCTGTTAACACTCCAGCCTCATTGCCAGCTATGCCTGTGCCCCAGACACATTGACCTTCTTGCTGGTCCTTACAAGTGTACAAACCATGCTTGCCCTCTGACCAGAACCTCCCACATAACACGTCTCTCTCCCTTACCTCCTTTAAGTCTTAACTCAGAGAAACTCTCCCTGATCGCACACATAAAATAAGATCCACCTGTCCCGTCCCCAGCATATTCTAACTCTTCTCCTGACTTATTCTTTTCTACATTCTTATTCCCACTTGACATATTTTTATTTGCTAGATTTTTTTATTTTCTTTCTCTTCCCACCAAAGTGTTAGCACAAATGTTGGCCTATTTTGCTCAAATAAAATGCCTGAAGTTGACATTTAGTAAATGGCCAATAAATACTTTTGAATAAGTGGAAAATTCTATAGATTGACACTGTTAGCAACATTTTATAGTTGAGTAGCTTAAAGTTCAGATAAGTGAAACAATTTGTCTGATGTTTGATGACTCACAAGGCATCTGTATTTGAATATACAATGTCTTCCAAAGTCATGATTTTTCCAGTATACCTAAGTTTATTACCTGAAAGGATTTTTTCCATGAGGCATAGCTTCAGATATAATTAGCATTTTAGTGTGCACTATATATATCAGGGTTTTTTTGTAGAAACAAAATCCACCATAGTTGATTTAAGCAGAAATGGATTTTGATGGTTACAAATAGTTGACAGAATCTTTTTGGCAGAGCTAAAGAAACAGATCTGAGTTGAGTTTCCGGAAATGACTACCAATACCACATCAAAGAACTGTCTGCCAGCCACTACTGCCTCCTCTACTTTTTAGAGACTAAAGAATCAAGAGATTAGTTGCCATAAATCTGGCTCTAGGGCTCACTGGATCACTGCTTTATTGTGAAGAGATATAATTCCAAAACAGCCAGAAGGGAGAGATGCATAGGGTAAGTATGGGGGAGGGGCATGGTATGGGGAGGAATGCCACTGTCCCAGCATCTTAACATGCTCGCCAACACAGAGGCATCAAATGTGAATCTTTGAACAGACTGGCAGTTATTTGGAGCAAATATGAGGGTATCGGACTGAAGGCAGAGACCAGAAGTAAGGACAAGGCAATAAACTGGGGTGTGTATGGCAAGGCCTGCTTGGTGGTGCTGGTGGAGAGGCAAGGGTGGGTTTGAGCGATTTCACCTGAGCAGTTCCATAGACCTGGGGATCTACTAGGAGGGAGTGAGAAAGGAGAGAAAGGCCCTCCCCTAGTGGCGCAGCGGTTGAATGCTGGGCTGCGAGGCTGCCCCCAACCTCTGCAGCTATGGTTCAATCCCCGACCCCCTGCGAGGGTCCCACATGGCACAGCAGACCTCTCTTGCCGTGCCCGCTGCTCCCCTCAGCAGTGTACTTCGCCAATCTGCCTGTTCTGTTCCCTGCTCTGGCTCTGGTGAATTCTCTCACCCTCCTGTGCTTCTGACTGTACCCAGTTCTTGTATAAATAAATAAATAAATAAATAAATATTTAAGGAGAGGAAAGGAGTGAGTAAGGGGATGGTTCTGTAGCTTCTAGCTCAAGAGACTCTAAGAAGATGAAGGCCATCTCCATGATAGGAACTGGAAGAGAAATTGATCTGAAAACTGTTAGAAAGTATTGTCCTTTCTAACACCCCAGAGATATGAAATTATCAGTAATAAGACAAGGGTAGCAGAACTTCCAAATTTGACAGAAGAGAAATGAAAGAGGAGGAATGCAGAGCTTTTCCGTATGGTGATGAAAGAAAAAAGGGCAGGATTTGTCTCTACTATGACATAACTAGAGTTTGTTTCCCATATTTTGTTGTTGCTATTGAGGCGATGTCTCCAGGATATGCTGTCCTGGGAGAAGACAGCCACAGAAAGGCCAGATGGATTGGTGAAATAATCTGGGAATTTCACAAATAATACTTTGTAAAGAAACAAACAAAACTCTTGTTCCACTTTCTCCAGGAGCAATGCCCCAAAGTCAACCATGGAAGGTCGCTCTCAAGGGGCCGGCACTCACTGATTCCCACAGTCTCACTCACTGCTCATTTTCCTTTACCAGACTTGTGTGGAAGATGAATCCCTTTAGCCCAGGCTTTGTGGTCATCACTGGCTGCCCTCCCAGAGGGGAGGCAGGAGCAACGTGACCAGGGCCATGCACCAGAGGCCTATTTCCATCTGGGGGCCATCCGTGTGATTCTCGCAGTGACTGAAAGACATGGCTTCCCTGGGGAACACTGTCATCGTCCATAGTGTTCATCATATCCTTAAAAGAATACTGAAGATTCTCATCCCTAACACCTTGCACGCACGACTCTTATAATGGCAAAGAGAGAATTCAGGTTGCATGATAGAAAAGACACAATACCTGTGACTGTGATGTGAACGTGCTAGGACCTCTGTTCCAGGGAAGAATCTGTAAAAGTGAGGGGAGAAGCTTGAGCACTGGTGGCAGGGACCTGTCCCTCAGTCTCTTCAGTTCCCTTCCACCCTGCTGATCTGATACCACTCCCATCTTTTCTCCATGAGGTGGGATTGGAGGAAGTGAAATGATGCTTTGACAGGTGAACCCTATTCCTGGAAAACCTATTGAGGACCTATAAATAATCCTCCAGATATGTATAACAAAGTATCCAGACTATCTCAGTTCTATGAGTAGGGCAGGCAGAGCTTTCTTTTCCCAGAGTTGGCAGGGAGAGGTGAAGGATTGGACAGGAGTCATTTTTATAGTCATCCTATACCTGGCTGCTTCTCACCACGTGTCTGTACATCAGTAATGTGTTTACAAGCAGATAGTTTTGTATGAGGCATTTATTTACCCTTATAATTAAGATGCATGTGTTTCACTGGAAGCATCAGTTTTGAGGCCTTTAAAGCACACGATAAAGATAGGCATGCATAGGAAGGGGGCTTCTGTCCACAGACCATGAGTGGGCAACTCACCGTGTTGAACGGTGATGAGATAGTAGGAAAGTACAATTGAAAAACACACTTGAAAACAGTATTACACAAAATAATTTACTTCTCATTCAGAATGACCTTCCAGACCTATTTGTGAGACAGCAGGTTACAATCTGAAAGTCATGACAGTTATCATAGGTCGATCGATAGAGTTGGTTACACCTGTGGATCCTGGAGTCACGTGGAGACAAAATCGTGGAACTGTGTATAACAGAAAAGGATGCTGTCAAGGAGTTCCAGGGACATTGAAACAAGACCCAGAGGGACTAGTGGGTACAGCTGAGAAAAACTACATCTTGAATTACAGTGAGATTTGTACACACATACTCCGGTTTCTTCACTTCACAGCTCAGTCCATTGGCTTAAAAGCCACAAAGGTGCTCATGCATGTGATTTATGCTGGAGAAATTGGTGCGTGTGCATGTGTGCATGCATGTGCAATTCAAAGGCAGTGATTTTAGAAGAATGAGAAGAAAATTACTTCCTGGCCATTCATTAATAATTCAGGTGATATCCTGCACCTCCATTTATAAAACAATACAATAATAAAAACATTGTACAAAACAACCTCATAAATAACATAAATGAGAAATTATCAAGTATTTCATGTGCCTTGAAAAGTTCCAAACAGTAGTAACAATTCATATTCTTTTTTTTTCCTTCACCCTCTCATTTAGTCTCAGAGTCTAGAAAGAAATGCCTTCCATCTTTGTAAGTCCTGATGTTTGGGATGGAATAAACAATGTTCTATGTTCAAAAGAGGAACTGAGGAGGATGTTTCACTATGTAAAAAAAAAAAATGTTTTCCCTTTATAAAATATGATCTTTCCCTGCTGCTGGTTTGTGAGTTAGGCAGACAGCCATGCCGTGACGGGGAGACAGACAGCTGCAGTGAACTAGAGAGCCACGTCTCATGGCTCAAGTTCGAGGAAAAACAAAATGACAAGAGCACCTTGATCAGGGGAGGACACGTGAGAGGATACGAATATTCACCCTTCATTCAGTACCCTCTCTCAGCCAGTGCCTCAGAGGAGGGAGAGCCAGCAGGACCCTAACTGCATTTCTTCCATTCAAGGATCCCATCCCTCAGTCCAACACCAATCGGTTGCACCAAGCACCCAGGCAGTGTAGGGACTCGAAAGTGTAGGGACTCGAAAGTGCCATCAAGGATAATCAGCCCAACAGCACTGTGTCCACTAGACCGAAAGTGCTTTATGATAATTGCTCCTTAAAATATTGTTCAATGTGCAGGCTGTCCCTGATTAAATTGAGCATGAAGTCTCTTGGGTGCTTCTCCAACAAGACCCATGGAGTTTGCCCAAACAACTTCCCTGGGCTGGCATTCCTTTCTTAGCTGATTCACATGTTTGATTGCAGGATGAAAGACCAGGCATGAGAACATGCATGTAAATATGTACACACACTCAAGTTATGAGCACCGAGGGTCTTTCTGATCTATTCTTACAGTGTATAATACAGTGTATGTATACATATACATATACATATATATACATATATATTCTGTGTGTATATGTCTACACACACAAACATACACACACATATGTACACAAAATAGATCAATCTCATCTAAACAATTCGAGTTTGAGGAAAGAGCCATCTGACAACATGTGCCAAGGATGTCACATGAAGAGTACCAACCCACCTGAGGTCAAACTGTTGGAAGAGAGAGCAACCAACAATCTTGGAAAATCCAGACCTACATGGCCATAGTTTGGATACTTATTCACATGGCACCCTAAAATAAATTTGGGGAAATAGGTTAGGATGAGGTCCTGCCCCTGATGAATACCTACACACCCCAACTAAATCTAGCTTTTACATGGGAGTGACTCACACACAGCTGAATTCTAGGCTACAATGTGGATAAAGCACTGGTGCTTGATACAGATCAATATTTGGCCTCAGGTTTTCCAGGAATAGAGTCTGGGCATTTAAGCCCTCGGCCACCAAGTGATAATCAGGCACACTGGGGGACCAAGGCGGGACAGTCTGCAGAACTCTTGGCTCCTTTCTGCTTCTCTGACCCACAGCTGGAGGGATTGACCAAATCAAGGTAGAACCGGGACTTGAGGAAGCGGCGGTATGAATCCTTCTTCATGAGGTTAAAAATCTTCTTCTGGGCCTCATCAAAGCAGGTGATGGTCGGCTCCAACATGTTCCGGCTGGTCTCCTCCCTGGTGCAAGAGTCCAGGTTTACCTGAAGGGCACAGACCAAGTCTTTGTTAGACATAGAACCCGATGGCGAATGTTCTGTATTGACTGTGCACCCTTTATCCCTGAGGCATGAAGAAAAGACATTGGACTCCCTCCTAGCACACATGAGAGAATAGAGAAGATTCTTTGCTTCTGGGTGAGCAGAGCAATCTCTTTTGATCTTTCTCAAAATTGGGCAATTCATTTAAAAAAAAAATAATTATGGAAGATCATTTAAGTCATCTGGATGAAAGAGCTATTTTCTTAACTGGTTGATTTGGGGTTGGCAAGATTATAACAACCTGTCCCTTTTTTTTTTTTTGTCTCACATGATCTAAGGTCCCAAGCCATTGAATACTACTTTGAAGACTCTTCTAAGACCCAGAGATTGCTCTACTGTGAAAACTTACCTCTTTGGTTGCCTGGACTGAGATGAATTCATTATAGATCTTTTTGGCCTTGGGACTTAGTTTAGAGGGGGATTTGATTTTCTTGTACTCTTCACAGCTGATCCAGAAGTCAATGTTCTCCTCACTGTACTCAGACTTCAAAAAAGCTTTGAAAGCTGCCAGCCCACCTGTGACAGAGAAGAGAACTCCTGTTAGCATCACACTGGCTCAACTCTCTTATAATGTATTTCAGACCAAGCAGAGGACTTGAGGGAAGAAGGCATGGGGGTTCAAATTCCACTTCCTGTTTGAGGTCAGGTAGCCCTAATCTATGTTTGGTATCTAATGGATCCCGGTTATACCTGGTGATTCTTCCCCAAAGTTTGAAGTCTCTTCACGAAAGTGTTGTGCTTCTGAAATGCCTATGCAGCTATTGCTTGCCAAAGTAGGTTTGGGAAAGAGAAATAGGTCAAAGCTGTGAGAGATCTCAATATTTGGATTTTTTTTCTCTACTCTTCCTTATGGTACTAGCAATGGTTTTCTTCATGGTTCTGTCTGAACTTTGCATTGTAAATTACAATGCTATGGGTCATGGTAAAATTTAAAGAGACTGAGTTTCTTGAGTCTGGAAGTCAAGGACTTTCTTCAGTTTATATTAGACCAAGCAGAGGATGAGGTAACTCGTCTAACCAGAGGGCCTTTATGTTCACCCCAGGGGGAGAAAAAAGCTGTCAGACTTACATTCATGGCTAATCAGATTTTCCAGTGACTCAGCCCATTTCTTGACTTCCTCTTGGCTCACCCTAGAGATAGCACAGAGAAAGAAAACAATTGTAATGGCATAATAATAAAATTGGGGCAAGAAATTTAAGATCTGAATAATATTCATTTTGTTTCCATCGTGATGATGAGACCTATTGTCAGCAATCCCTTCATTAAATGCACGGGAATTTTGAAGGCAAGTGTGATGCCCTTGAAAAAGCATGCTCACTGAATCCAAATCCACTTAACTAGAGATAGAACCTCCTTTCTCTTCACAAAACATCATTGTCACCTGATAGCTGAGTAATAGTGGATTTTCACCAAGGCATCCTCTCTTACCTCTGACAAATAACCACTTTGTCCCTCTTGCTGTGCGAAGAATTATGTTCGCAGGAGTCAGACTTCTGCAGCAGAAAACCAAGACGATGCTTCATATCTTTTGCACTGCAGACAGGAAAGAGGAGAATAATGAAAACCAGAATTCTTTAAAAGATAACCTGCAATAGAGTTCAAACAGTTCACTGCCAAGAAAGGGGATGAGTCTCCGAAATGGTACGAACTCTCAGAGAAATAGGATTCCCCTTCTGTTCTGCCTAGGACTGATTATGAAATCTGGACAGAGTTGAAGCACAGCCTCCTTCATCAGTAACTGATTCCGACCCTATTGTCTACCCCTTTCATAAACCCGTTATTCTGACCAATGGAAGAGGACTATTTGAACACTTTGGTGTCCTTGATTGAAGCACATTGAAAACTTGACTTTTCTTTGGGTAATTTGTAGGAATTAGAAAGCAAGCAGTAACTGCAAAATATGGTACCTCTGCCTCATGCCACCTTCTAAGGGCATTGCTATATACATCTGCCTCTTGGCTAGGAGAGTGTAGGAGCCTCCCAGGAAGGCAGGGGTCTGTTTAGCTCTAGCCTTGCATCAGGAAGTTCAAGCAATTCACATTCTGGGGCACACACACAGGTGTGCCACTCTGGCACAGGGAAGTGTGACAGAGGCAGGGGAAGGGGATGCAAGGGTTCAGGCTGAACCCCTTTAGGCTTGCTTCTAGAGGCTCTCCTGCTGTAGCTTTCTGCTTCATATCTAATCTGTGAGGATATTTATTCTCCAAAGGGCATTTGAGGTTTAAAAGAAACGATAGGAGAAGCTGCGAGTGTCCTCACTGAGCAGTGATTGTTTAAATAGGGCCGAGCTCCCAGCTGCTTGTTGCTGTTTGATGGGTGGCTAAGACACAGCCTGCACATGACTGCCTCCAAAAGGAGGAGCTTTTAATAAGCTTTTAGCTTATTAAACTTTCTCATGCTGATAATTATCCCTTTGCATATTACAAAAGTCAAAAACTAGATTTAAAAAAGAAATGTCATTTTTAAAAGAAATGAAGGACTAGTTATTCTTACTCAGAGGGAGAAAAATGAAGTCACAAGGCTACAAAGTCATTTTAGAATGACTTCCAAATCTATGAGCATTCCCTCAGAAAATGTGAATTGCATTCCATTCTTGGGCTGCCCCTCAAATACCTTCTCTCCCTCACAATACTGTTTTCTCCTCTCTGCTTCCCCAACTGGTTGAGGGATGCAAAATCCTCCTTTGTATAGCATGATATAATCATCAAAGTCAAGGTGATTCTAAGGTGATGCTATAAGTAGATTATGATTTGGTCAAAATAGGAATCATTGCATATTTCCAGGTGTCAGATGCAGCTGAGATCTGACAGCTATTGATTAATTCAGAATCATTTAATGAAGAGTTGAAGGTATGCTTAGCACGTATGCCTTATTTGTCCTCATTACACAATACAACCATAAAAATGAAATTATAATGACTTCAGATCTCACTGGACTCAGGAGGGCTGAGTTTGATTTGAACTCTACCCCACACACCTCTGTGACCTTGAGGAGCTCACATCCCCTCTGCAGACTTGGGCTGTAATGCTGGAAGGAAGGTGTTGGTTGGGTGGATTTCCATTCACTAGGGCAGAGCAGCTCATCCCTATAGAGTTTACCTCCCCAGGCTAACATCTTGGCTCCTCCAGGGCCACACTCCAGTGCACCCTTTCATCTCTCCCAAAATAGTTACCAGCGCATAACCTTCTCCTGACACCCCTATGTTATGCATGATTAATTTTATATATGAGTTAGCTGAGCCTGGAGTCATTTGTTCCATTCAGTTCAGGAAATTAATGATAGAGGTCAAAAGTATTTCTTGGGCACCCTGCTTCATTTTAAAGCCATCATGGGAGAATATTTGAAAAAGTATGATCTTTCATTCTCCTAAATGACAGAATAATTGAAAGGTAAAGTTTTTAGGAACTCACAAAGATTGTGCTCTCTGGGATAGTTCTAATTTGAAATTTCAGCTGATTTTCATTTGCAGGGAAACAAGGGGTAGTGCACTTTCAGATTGACTTTTTACCTTTAACTTCAAATTTTAGTACTCCAATCTGGTCTAGTTTTGTATCTTTCTAAACTCACAAACATTCTCTGAAAGCATTTATTTATACCTTCTTCAAAATCCAAAGTCTTATGAGTTACTATGTATCTTTGAATTGTTTCCAAAGAGACAGTACATTGACAAAATATTATCCTTTTTTTTTTGACCAAATAGTGTCTTTAGATGAGAATACAGAATCTTTAACTGATTTCTTACAGTCAATCCTTCTCCACCACCACTCACATAAGACATGACAAGAACTAGAGGTAGGAGCAGAAAGATATGGATAAGCAGGTTTTGAAACATTTTTTTTTTTACTGAAGTAACATTATATTATTATATAGGCTTCAGGTGCACAGCATTATAAATCAACATCTGTATATACTAAGTTATGTCCACCATCTGAAGTTTTATTTCCATCCTTCCCCAGAAACTCATATTCTATCATAACATTTGCTTATATGAACATAGGGAATGACAGACACTGCAACACACAGAGAAAACACAGAGTCATTCTGGTCATGCAGCCAAACCTCACTCTGGGGTATCTATCCCCCTCAACAAGATCCAGTATTCCATTCGAAAGCCCAGGGTTCTGATACTGCGCTCCCCAGTGATGCCAAAATAACAACAGTAATCGCAGATGCACATGTCACAGGTGCCACACATCATCCCAAACCTCATATTGCTTCTGCATGAGAACTGGTTTGTTTAGAGGATCAGACCAGTCTTCAAAACCAAAGTCACATAAAACAAGGCACAGGTGCCAACATTTGGGGAGAGCACTACCGAAGTCACAATTTCCAGTTTGTCTTGGAGGAAAGGTAGGAAGCTGGTGCTCTCCTGACTGTGGTCTTTCTAATACCAACAAACTAAAGGAGTTGGAAAAGCACATGACTACAAAAGTGGAATGAAAAGTTTAACACTGTTTTAGAGCCGAAAATAATCTTACCTCCTCAAGCAGGAAGCCGGCAGACCTGCAAGTCCTTTGCACATCTTGCTCAGTGTGGGATTCACAAGTGAAGAGGGAAATGCAGCAGGAGGAGCTGTGGTTTCTGTTTTGAGCGCTCTTAGCCTTTTCTCTGGAAACGATGCTGTCAGACTCCTCTGAGCTTCTCCCTCCGGGAGCCTGTAGGGGTCTCTTTTATAGCCCAGCCAGGACGGCACAGCCAATCAGATGGGCTGTCACACTGGCTCCCCAGCCTCCTCTGCCTTCCCAGCCCTGGAAGAGATAAGGAAGAACTGGTGCTTCAACAATGCAAAATGAACAGGCAGACAAAATCCTCTTGCCAAGAAAACAGAGAAAATTAAACTTTGCCTCATGTCTCTATAATGTCTAAGGTTTTGAATTGCTAGGAAAGGAAAAATAACGTTTGCAAGGCTGTTTGTTTGTTTGTAAAAATAAATGACTGTCAAGTCAAATCACCTCCTGGAAGGAAAGGTACAGCCAGTAATCCGTGGGCTCATTGTAGGACAGATTGCCCAGGCACTTCCTCTTGGGGATTAGAAAAATCATATTACACACAGTTCAAGATTTCATTCTCGCTGTTTCCTAAAGGGAAATGGCAGGTTCATCATTTCCAGGCAAGACTTTGCAGAAGTCTCAATTGTCACATTCAACAGGGAGGGGTGTGGGGGAAGAATAGATGTGTAGTGGCCCATTATATGCCTCGCTGCACAGAAAACTAGCCGAAGGAAAACAGATTAGCTACATTGTCATCAGTCCATCTGTGGAATACTTTTCTAGAAATCGTACAAAAAGCAGAATTCAGCCTAGCACTGACAATCTCTGTTGGGTGCATGGCTCCTGCAAGAAACTGCAAAACAGCAGCTTGAGGATCAGAGGAAGAGTAAATGAATAGATATAGACACACAGATTTGCATATCTTATTCTTATTTGGCTTTATGTCTTATTGTGTATGATCTAATTTTATGCCTCCAAGTTGGTATTACAGAATATTGAGAGAGAAGCAGAAGTGAAAAATAGTAGTTTGCCTCGCATATGACTAGGGTTCAAAATGAACATAAGGATATTCAGCCCTACATGTGCTTCTGAACACCTGGACAATTAGCATCTTTTGCAGAAAATGTGATGGACTGATACGTCCAAGAATCACGAGATGCTTCAAGTCTTACAGCTCAAATACCCATATCAAAGTTACTAGGGATATACTCCAAATAGAAAAGTTATGGGTAGAAGGAGGAAATTAATTGCTAAGTTAGACCTGAACAGATTTCATTTTGACAGTAGGTAGTTTCCTGATTGTGGGATATAGTGAGCTCTTCTGTTCATATAAGAACTAGAGATATCAGATGGTTTGTGTGGGGAAGATGAAGAAATAGATGATTCCAATGAGAGACAAAGGAATCCAAGAATATACTAAAGTAGGTGGTAAAGAGCAGCGTCCTTACCACATATATTCTCTTAATACCCCAAATTGGCCCCCACCCACCCCATCCCATTCATGGCTAGCAGAACAAGGAGATGGTAGAGAAATATAAAATGGTGAAGAGACTGTAATCTACAGAAGTTGCATTTAAATTATAGGAAAAAGTCTCTGCTCTTCTCCCATGAAAACAGAAAAAATTATTAGATTAGCTACTTAGCAACTTTTTTTGAAGAATAACAAAGAACAAATCAATTCCTTTATGAAGCCAACATCTGTCATTGGTGTGTTGTGGAAGGGGCTGTGGAGTAATGTCGAATGACAGAAGCCATAGGGCCAAGGAAGGTAGACCCTGGGAAATGAACCAGTCATAATTGGCATCAGAGAGGAGATATCAAAATAAGAGGAGAAAAGGTCACTCAAAGATGGATGGGACCTTCTTTGCTTACCTGGGTGTGAAAGAGAGTGATCACTCAAATAATTTGACTCTAGGAATATTAAACAGGAGTCAATGAGAACTTTATTCCTACAATCTAAATAATAGAGAAAACTGTTTTTTTGTGGAGGTATTAACAATTCCAATAGATGAGCTTCATGGGAGTTAAGATATTCTTGCCTAACATACTCATTTTATCAGTGGAAATAGATGAGAAAATTGACTTGCCAGCTTCACAGCTTCATACTGGTCCAGACCCACACTTCCTAACCGTAGATCACATGGATTTTCTACAGTGCTATCATATCACCCAATAGCTTTATCCAATGGGATACACTATGTCAATAGAGGTGTTCCTAAACTGTTAAGTACTAGGCAAATATTTTTATTGTTAGATTATACACAGTAGATAACAAAATCCAATGTTAGTTTTATACTTTTCATTCAAGCAGGACTCTACCCAATTTTCTCTTGGTCCATGAAAGGACAGATTGCTGCAAGTCTGTTAAAAACAGGTCTTTTTACTTTGTGATTAGCCCATTAACCTGTTAAGGCATTTCAAATATATTCATTTTTTTAATATTGCTTTCTTAGGAGTTTTAACATTTAAAGAATGTTTAAGAAAGCTTCTCCTAAGTTAACTTATTTTTCCCATAGGAATGTGTTTATTGTATTTGAGATGGGAGACCAGTACATCAGGATAACTTGGCAATTTTCTGCCCGCCTTCTCTGACATACACAAAGCATTAAGTTCTATTATTCTATGATTTGTCACTCCTGGATGATTCTGACAACGCAGAAAAGCTTGATTCTCTAGAGATCTAATTTGTATTATTCATTTATTTAAGATGTATCTTTTGAGGACTACAGTTAGTGCAGTGAACAACAAGACAAGGATCCCACCCTTGTGGAGTTTTCATCCCAATGGGAGGAGTCAGAAAATAAATAATTCCAGATTTTGACCTAAAGGACTAAATAGGCAAGTAATGCTTTAGAGTAATTGGATGGCAAATGGCTTACTTAGCCAAGGTGGTCAGGAAAGGCCTCTCTGAAATGAAAAAATGATAGGTAAGAAAGAATGAGCAATATAAGAAGCCTAGGAAATAGGAACAAGAGAAAATATTCTTTATCTAAGGTGGAAAAGAACAAAAGCATAACTAGAGAATTGAGACCAACTAGAGGGTAGCATGATAAGAGACAGAAGAGGAGGGCCAGCTATTGCATGGACTTGCAGGCCATCTCATAGAGACTGGGCCTTATGTGCACTGGAAATCTTCTAAAGAAATTGAAGTAGATGAGGCCATGATCTGCTCGTTCTGATAGTGTGGAAGAATGGATTGAAGGGAGAACATGGAAGTAGGTAAACCAGTTAGCAGAGTTATCAGTTTGGATCCTGGCTCATGAGTTTCTTCATTGCATAATGGATATAATAAACTTCATAAGTATTTATTCATTACTATGTAGTAGACATCATTGCAGGTTCTGGTGACCTAAATATGAATCAGAAATGATTTATGCTTTTTAGGAGCTTGTGCTCTCATGACAAAGACCTTTAAATAACTGGAAAACACTAGATTAAGCATCATTATTAAAATCATATTATGTACAAAATTCAAGGAAAGCAGAAGGTAGAAAATAAACACAATCTTGAGAATGTAAAGTGGTTTTCAAAAAGAAAATTGGAAAAGGATGAAGAGACTTAGTAGATGTACAAAGAAGAACATTACAACAGAAGACTCATTAATAACAGATAACTTTATTGGGCACTAAATTTGTAAGGCATTTGTTTTAAGTATTTTCTGCTAATTAACTCATTTATTCCTCACAATTGAACCTGAAAGAAGGTCCCATAATAATCCTATTTTACAGATGAGACATAGAGGAAATAACTTCCTCAAAGTTACATATCTGTGAATTATGGTTTCAGGAGCACACCGCCAGACAGTATAAATCCAGGGCCCCTGCTGGCAACCTCAATTCTTCATAACCAAAAGGATGAAGGTATATAGGTTGGAGTCCTGGTGACTCTCCAGTGTGGTTTGAGCTTTGGGGATGAGAGAGAGCAAAATGAGGCTAGACGGTTACTCTGAGATCCAAAATGTGTCTCTTGTCACACTGAAACCAAATTTCACCCTGCAGTTGTTGGGGAGCTAGCCATGATATTTAAGCAGATCAGATAAAATGTTCTAGAAATAGAGCTTGGGAGGCACCGCAGGGGAATAAATTGTACAAGAGATAAACTGGAAAAAAGTCAAAAGATGATTGCATTAGTCCATGATGTAATTAATAAAAAAGTCCATGATGATGACAAAAAATAAGACTGCTTGAGATTGTTTTGAGAATGGAATGAGGCAACACATATAAAAGAGTTCCCTAAACTGTTAAGGGCTGAACATCTGGAAGGTATTGTTGCCAACAAGGCTATAGAACAACTGTTTTCTGCAGGGAAACACTGAGCCACACAGCAGGATGTCAGCTGTGTGTGGTCTCCAGGTAAATTTCTGATTTCCACCCTTAGCAAGGGTAAAAAAAAGGAGACATTGTTTAAGCCCTGATGAATGGGACCTCACACAAGGAAATAAGCTATTGTGGCAGGCGCTGGATTCTTTACTTCTACCAGATTTTTAAGGGGCCATCTCTTTGTCATTAGGACAGGATGGAACCGAGGCTCAGCCTCTGACTGCATTCACCACTCTGATTAAAATTTCCTCCCAGCTGTTTGAAGCCTCCCTCCCTTTTTATTGCTTACTACAGTGGCCAAGACGTAAGTGAGAGTTTACAGTTATTGATTTTTAAGACTCAAAAGCAAACATACCCGGTGGTAGGAGCTGTATACCAGGAACATGAACTGGGACTTTCCCAGTAAGGATTACTTTGGGGAAATATGTCTTAGTCTCCATACCAACCTTTTCAGAACTGGGAGTAAACGAGAGTCCCTCACCTTGACACTTACCAGATGACTCATGCCTCCATCCCTTTAGCACACACTTAATGAGCTGGGGGGAAAAATCCTTCTTTCCCAAGAAGTAAGGAAGAACCCAAATATCCCTTTGTCAAAGATTTAATCTTTCTTCCGCAAAGCTTAGCCCAAGACAGAAACAGTTTCATAAGAGTTCATTTAGATTGTGCTAGTGGAAAAAGATGACATGGTATCATGGAATATGCTGGAACTTTACAGTTGGGAAGACTTGGATTCTAATTCTAGTTCTAACACATAATGGCTCTGTGATTTTGGAAGCTAGAGTAATCTTCCTGATAGTTTTCTCCAATAGGTTATTTCTGATTTAAAAAAAAAAATCTTGATTGTGAGTAATCCCCCCAATTTCCAGTCTTCTGGGTAGTTAAGGGAGTGGTAAAAGTTTCTCATGAGTTTTCAGGTCTTCAATTGATCTGCACTTGAAATGATCCACATCAAAAAGTGGCGTATCTTCAGAAAACCAGTTCTCAACGTCTAGGGGAGATCCATCCTTAACAGGCAATTGTAATTTCTGCCAAACCAAACATGCTGGTTTGGTTTATGTTTTCTGGGCCTATCCTACATTGCTTTTGAGCCATATTAGACTTTTAGTAGGGTCTCAATCTGATTGACTCGAAGCATTCTCAACAGTGTTGTGACCCTCACTTGTTAGCTGATTTGAGGGGTGTCACGCTTTCACCTGGAGCTATATTTAGAATCTGTTACAAAACTGATTTAGGGCCTCCCTGGAGGCGCAGGCGGTTGAGCGCTGCGCTATGAAGATGTTCGCAGCCTCTGCAGTGTGGGTTCGATCCCGGTCGGCAGGTGAGAATCCCACACAGCGCAGCAACATCTCCTATCTCGCCCGCTGCTCCCCTCAGCAGTGTATTTCATCAGTCTGCTTGTTCTGTTCCCTGCTCAGAGTCTGGTGAATCTTCTAACCTTCCTGCACATCTGACCTGTACCCCAGCTCTTGTATAAATAAAATAAATCTTAAAACAAACAAAAAAACCTGATTTACATTTTTCAATAGTTATATAGATCCCACACCTTTTTGTGATATTTGAGAATGTTATTTTCACTCTACAGGAAAGACTCTGGAAACTTCTAAAGGAAAATAATAAAATCCACAACAGTGAAAAATTATAAACCCCGGCTGAAAATCAGGTCTGGGTTCTATTTAGCTTTGGCTGCCAAAAGTAAAGGGGTGGAATGATATCTTCTAAAATGAACTGGCATAAATCGTGTCTTACTAAGGACAATTCTGCTGCCATATCTTCCTCATACTATCTCCTAATTTTTTCTCAGTCATTCACTTAAAATTTTTATTGATGTAATATTGGCTTAAAACAATATATAGGTCTCAAACACACAGCATTGCAGCATCTGTATAGGTTACATTACAATCTCCACAAAAAGTAGTTTCCATCCATCACCATACAATTGATTCCCTTTACCCATTTCAAGTGTCCCCTCCATACCTCTTCCCCTTTGGTAAAAATAATTTTGTTGTCAAAAAACATGGGTTTTGTTTTGTTCTTTTCTGTTTGTTGGCTTACTTTATTTCTCTACCTTTCACATATGAGTGAAGCAATATGGTATTTGTCTTTCACTTTCTGACCCATCACACATAGTATAATCCCCTGAAGATCCACTCATGTTGTCAAAAATGGCAGATGGAAGGATTTCATCTTTTCTTTTTAATTGCTGAGTAGTATTCCTTGTGCATGTATACCACATCTTCTTTATCCTGTCATCTGTTGTTTCCATATCTTGGCTATTGTAAATGGTGCTTCTGTAAACAAGGGTGCATATATCTCTTTGAATTAATGTTTTTGAACTCTTGGGATATTACCCAGAAGTGGAATAGCTGGATATTTTTATTATTCCTTCATCATGTCTGGCATTTTCATTTTCTTGGTTCATTTTTCACTGTTTCCAGACATATCCTCTACTTTTTCCCTCCTTTGCAAGCCAAGTGTTGAAGTCTTGCTCATGCTCTCAACATACCCTCTAGGTTTATTCCTCAGCAACTCATAACAGCTAATCCCTCTGGTGATCTTCAGGGGTTTAAATGTTACCTTCATAGATACCTCAAAGGATCGGTAACATTATCTGTCCATTTCACCAATGAGGGATGTGAGGCACAGAGAAGTCAAGTAACATGCTTGATGATTACTCAGCTAGGAAATAATTGAGAAGATGGAATCTGATGTCACTTGGCACCAGAGACCAAGCTCTTCACCTCCATTTCATGATGCCTTATAGGCTGGCTGTGCTTCTTTGGCTGGCCATGAGTGACTAGAAGTTCCTTAACTCTTACGCTAACTTGTTGATATTTAACACATAAAAATTGCTTCTTCTTTCAGGTAGACAAAACAATGAGGTCAACCTCTCTCATGTCAGTGAATTAGCCTCCTCATGTCCACTTTGAATTTAATCACTTTAATTTTCATTCTTCAGATGGCCTTGATGTCATTAAAAAAATTCAGTGAAGGCAAGATAAAAAAGAATGGATAATTCTAACAGTTTTGTGAATTCATTTGGTAGCTCCTACAAGGATGAATTCCTCTGACCTTATTTTAAAAGCTGCATGGAATTTTTCAAACTTGTAATTAATCATTTGGTTTGACAATTAAGGTACAAACAAGTTATTTTATCTGTTTCTAGAAAGGTCAAGTTTTAAAGAAACACTGCAGCAAAATCCTACAAATGAAGCCCATCTGAAGGTTGCAATTCGACCCCATGCTTCTGATCTCAGTGTCACCCCATTAAAGATCATCAGGGAAGTAACTTTTTAAGACTCCTAGAGACTCTGACACGTGCACATGTGTAAACAAGCAAACTCACTCACCCACATCCATCTACAGGAATGGTTGCCCCTCACTTCAAAGGAGATAATAGTGATTGAAATGGTATTATAATGCCAAGGTGTTGACCTAGAAATATGATAGGGCTATCCCATATCATAGAGTTCATGTACTTTGATTGTTTTTGCAGGCGTGTTGATGGATTGTTGAGTCATAAAAAGGTCTCGGTCATTTCCTCTTAAAATAACCCTTCCATTTCTACAACACTTCACAGTTTGTGAAGCACTTTTCCCTACATTATCTCGTTTGCTTTTCACATCCAACTCAATATGTTCAAAATGGAAATGATTTTCCCCTCTAAGAGCTACTCTGCCTTCTGTGTTCTTTATTCCCGCCAAGCCACTCCTGTAATGTTTTTTTTTTTTTTTCACTGTGCTCTTTCTCTTGCTTATTAACCTAGTTCATATCCTCTTTGCTTGGCCATGAAACAGACACCTCCATTTCTTTTATAGGAAGAGTGATTTTGCTTCCAATGAAGCCTAGTGTAGAGAGCAAGATGACATGAGCCACTGGACAGAAGGAGAGTTTTTGACCCCCTTAAGACAGCCCTGAAAGTGCTGACATTCTACTGGAAGAAAGCCACATCCATCCATCTATTCTTTTGTCTATGTCTTCTTTCACGCCATGGTGGCAGAGTTGAGTAGTTGTAGTTCAGATTATTTGGCTCATGAAGGCTAAAATATTTGCCAGAAACAATAAAGTGCCACTGGCTTACAACATAGTAATACTATTTTAAATGGCCTTCCAAAATAATAATTCTCTAATTCATCTACCAAATGACCAGTATATCTTGACTCAAAATAGTAATACTTCTAATTTTCTACAAAATAAAGCTCAAATGTCTTAGCCAAAACTACCCCAAAATGAATTCCAAGCACTTTTTCTACATTAATTTTGAATCCCTTCACAAAAACTCTGAACTATTTGTTTTTCTCTCTAAGTTGTCCATGTTTTCCTTATTCCCTGGGAAATATAATACAGGAAAACATCCTTCCTCTTTGCTCTCCAATGTCCAAACTTAATACTCCTTCAGGAAGTTTCTTGAGCCGTCAGTTAAAAGGGACTGCTTTTTCATTGGAGCAGAGATTATTTCTGGCCATTTCTATGGAGAATTTAATGAATAGTGAAACAACTTCTGTTATGTTCCAGGCACCATGCTAGACCCATGGAATAAGATAGATAAAAATCCCTGACCTCGTGGAGATTATAATCTAGTACAAAATACATATCTTAAGTAACACATCACTACAAGTGTGCTGAGAACAAAAAAGAAAGAGCCGGGTTGTGGTAGACACGAATGATGCTCCAAAATACTTTTATCACTATTATTAATGGCATTGAGCAACTTTATCATTTATATATGTGAAGCACTTTTTCCTATATATATAATTTGTTATATAATTTGATATATATACAATTTTATATGCACGCTATGTTTATAATTATATTAATTATAGATGAATATATAATTATTTATATAATTAATATATATATAATTATATAATATATATAATTTATTCATTGTTTTGACTGCAGGACTGCAGGCTGTCATCTTGAGTTGGAACAGTCTCTGTGGTGAACATTGTTGGTATTCATGACAGAGACAAAGGAGAAAACAGCAAATTGTATGCTATTTCTACATTATATGCTCCTGCTCAGAAACGACACACATTATCTCTGCTTATGTTCTATTGACTAAAGCAAATCGCTAGCTCTGCTTGATGTCAAAAGAGCAAGTAATTATAGTCTCCCCCATAGGAGGGACAGCCAATATTTTTGAGTAATAACAAGGAGGTTAAATGATTTGCCTCAATCATACAACTAGCAAGTTTCCGAATGGGCACTTGAAAGAAAGTCATTTGATGCATCAGTCCAATTTCTCTTTTTCTGTCATCATAAAGCAAACTGGCTATCCGAGGGAATAAAGGTATGACTGTGGAAATGACTGCTCTGATAGCTTGAACTGTTCCACAAAACAAGAGCGTGCGAAGGGGCAGAAAACAAGTGAGATCAGTGATTTCTTGAGGTCAGTTCTTTATCACATCAGTGCCAGAGAATCGGCAATTATGACCATAGATGGGAATACAGGAAGTGACAGCTTCTATTATTGTTGATTGCTTTAAAAGGGTGCTGGAGGCAGTGAGCACACAGTAAATGGAATAAAGCTTTAAGTGCATTACCTCCATTCTAAATAACATTACCAGCATC